AATTAAAATTTTGGAATGACTTAGAAGAATTATTACAAAAACTCCTCTAGAAGAAAGAGTTTTTATTGGAGGAAATTTAAATGAACATGTTGGTAGAGAGGTAGATGATTTTAAAAACATTCATGGTGGCCATGATTTTGAAACGACAAATGAATGTGGCAATACCGTATTAGATTTATGTTTAGCTTATAATTTTTCAATTGCTAATAGCTTTTTTAAGAAAAGAAATGAGCATCTCATCACTCATAAAAATGGATATAGTACAATCCAGATTGATTATTTTCTTATAAGAAAATTAGATTGTTTATATTGCAAAGATTATAAAATTATTCCGAGTAAAAATTTATGTACCCAACATCGATCATTAATTTTGGACTTTAAGATAAATTGGCAAAAAATAAAAAATAAAGTAAAACGATATTCTAGGATTAGATGGGGGAATTTTAAGAATATTAACAAAAATATTTTTGAGAGTAAGATTTTAGATCTTAAGATTTTATCTGTGTATGAGAATGCTAATGTTAGGTGGGAAAAAGTGGCTAGTGATATTAAGAATATTGCAAAAGATGTGCTTGGAGTATCAAAGGGAAATGCTCATAATAGTAAAAATAGTTGGTGGTGGAACGCAAATGTACAAGAAAAGATTAAAAAAAAGAAGATTTATTATAAAAATTGGTTTAATTTTAAAAATTATGATAATTAGAAAAGATATAAAGAGGCTCATAAGCCATCTAAGAAAGCAATATGCAATGCAAAGATCTTAGCTTTTAATGATTTATATAATAGATTAGATACTAAGGAGGGAGAAAGATATATGTATAAATTAGTCAAACAAAGAGATAGGAGTAGTAAGGATTTAGTTCAAGTGAAAGGATGAGATCAAAAAATACTTTTCTTAGAAGATGATATTCAACAAGGTGGATGAGATATTTTGCTAAAATTTTTAATGAAAATTGTGAAAATAAGATTGACTATAGTGACCTTAGCACTCTAAATGAAAATAAGGATTTCTGTTTTTATCGGCATATTAGTAAAACCGAAGTTAAAAAGGCTTTAAAGAAAATGAAGGGTAAAAAATCTGTTAGACCTGATGGTACTCCAATAGAGGTGTGAAAATGCTTAGGAGACAAAAGAATTTCTTGGCTTACTAAACTTTTTAATATTATTTTGAAAATTAAAAAGATGCCAGATGAGTGGAGAATGAGTGTGTTAATTCCTATTTTTAAGAATAAAGGTGATGCATAAGATTGTGCGAATTATAGATGGAATTAAGTTAATATGCCATACTTTAAACTATGGGAGCGAGTTATGGAGCATAAGTTGCGGCGTGATACTAATGTTTCTCAAAATCAATTTGGATTCATGCCGGGTAGGTCGACTATGGAAGCCATACATTTATTAAGAGGTTTGATGGAGAAATATAGAGAAAATAAGGAGAATCTACATATGATATTTATTGATTTAGAAAAAGCATATGATAAAGTTCCAAGAGAAGTGCTATGGAGAGTTCTTGAATAGATCTAAAACAGAATATACGAAGTGTAATTTTAGTAGTAATAGACCTAGTGAGGGGATTGTGACTTTGGGCAATCAAGTCATTAATAAGAGTACACGTTTAGATATCTTGGATCTATTATTTAGAGTGATGGTGAAATAGATGTGGATATTATCAGCAGAATTCAAATTGGATGGTTGAAGTGGAGGAATGCATCGAGTTTGTTGTGTGATAGAAAAGTACCCCTCAAACTTAAGGGAAAATTCTATAAGATGGTAGTGAGGCCTGCAATGCTTTATGGTGCTGAATGTTGGACATTAAAAGAGTAGCATAATACTAAGTTAAGTGTGGCAGAGATGAGGATGCTCAGGTGGATGAGTGGCTTTACCCTTAGAGATAGGATACGAAATGAGCATATACGTGAAAAGGTTGGAGTAGCTCCAGTAGAAGATAAGATTAGAGAGAGTCGCCTTAGATGGTTTGGTCACATAAAACGGCGGCCTTCTAATGACCCTACTAGGAGAGTAGAGGTATTAGATTTGACTTATGTTAAAAGAAGTAGATGCAGACCTAAACAGACTTGGTTAGAAAATATTAGGAATGACCTTTATTTATTAGATTTAAACGAGAATTTGACCTTTAATAGGACACAATGGAGAAAAAGGATTCATGTAGCCAACTCCATGTAGTGGGATAAAGGCTTGATGTTGTTGTTTATATCCCATTCTTCAAAATTAATTTCATGTAGGAGGAGACGGGGTGATTAGTTAGGATCCCATGATCCCATCAACTAGGTATACACTAAGTGAACTCCGTTCTTTAAAAAAAAGAAAGAAAGGAACTTTCACTTTTCTTCTACAATTATACTTTAAAAAGTGGAGGGGCTCTCATGACTTCCACTTGTGTGAAATGGGAATAGAATAGCAACTGCTTTGAATCATTTATGGAGGTGACTGAATTAATAAGGATGCCAGTTAATATGGTAGTTGTGCATGCGATGGAAATGCTGCACTGGAGCCTTGGGGATTTCAAATTACTAATATTTTTACAAAAAATTTAGCCATTCTTTTTTAAGTTGCCAAAAGAGAGGAAATATATGTATGTTGGTATTTACTTTACATATGTACTGATTTAGGAGTAGATCTTATTGTTTTAATATTAATTGCTTTATTTAATTTTACATAATATAGGGGAGATATTTAATTAAGGGGGAGACGCTTATGTGATTTCAAGATATTCCTAATGAGCTTTTCATGTTGTTGACTCAATTTTTAAACTTGAGTCAGCTCCGCTTGATTAAATTGAATCAATCAATTCAATTTAGTCAAATAAATTTCTTCGATTTAAAGGAATAAAAGGAGCTTTTAATTGAACCCGGGAGAGAGGAACGTCAATGGCCAAAAAGTAGCAGTGGTGTTCGCTGTGAAAGCAATCTATTCATTCTGCTAGGAGAAATCGATAACAATGACATCTTCCTCCCGATCCTTTTTGTTGGACTAAAAACGAAGAGGGTAGGAGAGGCCAAGGTTCACTTCCTTTCCATTCAATTATCTTGAGTGGACTGTTGATGAGCATCTAAGCAAGCTCAAGACCTTGTAGCTTACAGTCCAACTTCTCTTCCTTCCTTGCACATTAACTCTGACGAGATGATGGTAGTGACGCCTGAGATAGCTAAGCATCCATGAGAAGCCCTTCTTTTTTCAGTTTTCTTTGTTTCATCCAAACGAAGTCACACAGCCAATGGCCATTGGCTTCAATGAGATAAAAGTCTTCAAACTAAGGAAATATAGGTCTACCGGCCTTCATGGTTATGCATGTGAGGATCCATCCCAACCTTATATTTGATTAGGTAACCCTTGTTGACATTGTTTAACCCAAAACTCCGCTGTCCTCTTTGTTTATCCATAGAAATTCAGTAATTTCTCATGGATGGTTCTTATTTAAGAACCAAAGCAACAGGATGTAGAAGCGTCGAGTTATTGGATTTGGGTCTGATAACGCCCCCTTGCATGAAATAGCATTCATATTAGATCTTCCACCTATATTAAACCATGGGTTTATTTAATTCCAATTAAATTGCTACACACTTATTTCAATCAATAAAAATTGCACTGCCATCAATATCAAATTATAAATTGTACATGGGTGTTGGATCTTCTAAATCAAATGGGCATGCACTTGTTCAGACCAACACAAGTTGCATTCCCTTGCTAAGGTTGTGACAAAATAAGTATGATGCCTCAAAAATATTTAACTAAGTCTTGCATTCGCTAGGACTTTCATGGTCTTTCGATGCTTCAAAATTTTATCCTTAGAGTTATGGGAGTCTTGCATTTGCTAGAATTTTCATTGTCTTTCGATGATTAAAAAATATTTAACTAAGTTGAATCGATTTTAAAAATAATAAAATTCTTGTATAGTACTTTAGAAATCTTCAAATGTCATTGTTTCCTACCTGTGGGCTCCGAAAATTAGTGACCCAGCCTCTCCTTGAACCATATCTTTTTGTGTCGGCGAGGAGAGTTTTAACAAGTTTAAGATATGAGGTAACTAGAGATTTTGCCCTCGTTTTACGAAGACTTTATGATCTAAGTTCAGGTTTCCTATAAGTGCAAGCCCTTATAGTTAATTACCCATCCCAATAACAAGAGAGCTCTTTTGATTAAGGCTAGTCATCGAGTGGACATGTAGTATCCAGCGTATAGTATGAGCAGAGTTTGATATTGAATATTGAAATTTTATCGCCGCATATTTAAAGCGGATGGTGGGGGGAATAATAATTATGGGTGAAAAAGTTGATGACATGCTCGGATGATACCTCTCTGAATGGAGCTGCTTCTGTCCACTTTGAAAAGTAGTCTGTTGCTGCAAGAATAAATCGATGTCCCGCTAATGACGGTGGATCTATTGGCCCGATAATATCAGTACCCCAGCATTCAAATGGCCAGGACGCTATTGTTGGGTGTAGTGGATTTGGCGGTTGATGTATAACATCACCGTGGATTTGACATTCATGGCACCTCTTAACGCGGTCAATACAATCTCTGACCATGGTCGGCCAATAGTAACTAATTCTCTTGATTTTAGCAGCCATCTTAGGACCTGACTGATGTGCTCCACAAAATCCTTCGTGGACTTCTGCTACTACTTTATCAGCTTCCATGGTCCCTAGGCACCTTAGCCACATTTCATCAAAAGCTCGTCTGTACAACGTGTCATTAACAAATGCGTATCGCAATGCCCTTTTTCTAATTTGTGCGGCCATAGACTTTTCTGTCGGGAGTTTGTTTTCCTTGAAGTAGTCAATGAATGGCTGCCTCCAATCATTTTCGACTTCAATATCTAAACAATGCCACCACGATTCTGAAACTTGACTAGCTTTATGTCTCTTGGCCATATGATATTCTTCTGGATAATTCTCCATAACGATCTGATGGAGGGGTTGAGGGTCAACTGGGATTTTATCTTGCTGACTTGAATCTAGTATTTCTTCTGCCCTCAGGAATTATAGCAGAGCGGGCTCCAAAATCCTACGAGTGTAAATTCCTATGAATATATGCCTCTCCTCATTGATGTTCGCCATTTCTTTGGCCAATTTGGCCAGACAATCTGCTTTAGCATTCTGTCCTCGAGGAACTCGAGCCATTTTGACATTTGGTACTTGCTTCAAAAGCTCAAGGGCTCGCCGATAGTAATGGGCCAATTCGACTTTGCCAACCTTATAGATACTGAGGACCTGATTTATCACGAGCTGAAAATTACCGAAGATTTGGAGATGTTGGATTCTGACATCGATCGCAATCTCCAACCCTGCTAATAGAGCTTCGTATTCGGCTTCGTTATTGGTCCGAGGTTCAGTCAAACTGAATGAAAATCTCATTAGACCAACGCCGGCTCGGGCTCTTGCAATATTTGGAGGTCGAACAAGTCTAATAGATGATGCCCCGTCGAAGTACATCTCCCAGGATTGTGATTTATTTTCTTCCTCGACCTGCATAATCTGTTCATCAGGCAAATCGTCATTTAGCGGAGAATCTACCGGGATTGGATGTGCGGCGAGGAAATCTGCCAAGGCCTGTCCTTTCACTGCCTTTTGTGACATGTATATGATATCAAACTGCAGTAATAGTACTGCCCACCTGGCTAGACGACCTGTCAACGATGGTCTTGTCATCAAGAACTTCAGTGGATTGATCCTTTATATCAGGGTGATTTTATGGGATAGCATATAGTGGCGGAGTTTTTGAACTGCAAAAATCAGCGCCAAACAATGCTTTTCAATAGGAGAATAACGGCTTTCTGCTCCAATCAACCTTCGACTGATGTAGTAAAGCGCATTTTCTTTTCCTTCTTCATTATTCTGGGCCAATAGTGCTCCGAGGGACTCTTCCAGTGCAGTCATGTACAATATGAGAGGCTTCCCCGGAATCGGCGATGCTAGGATGGGCAGATTCAGCAGATATCTCTTGATGCTATCAAACA